TTAAACTCAGATGGAGTAAATCAACAGGCTGTCCAATGCAAAGCTGGGTTTGTGTAGTCTCTGGAGAGAACTCAGCTTTATTTAAACTGAGTGTGTACAGAAAAGGAATAACTGAAATATGTGCAATAGAAACAAAAGAGCAAGTAGTATAAATCAAGAAGAGCAAGTGATGTAGATTTTTGTATATTACTGGTTAGATTACAAACACTAATGTTTTATGGGGAATGTTTCTCAAATTTGTTGGGTACCTTCAGGTTTTTGAAGTGCATGTGAAGAATTGGTCTTTAATGTTATTCTTGTGATGTTCCAAAAACACTTGAACTTTGCACTCTGAGTTTATACTGTTCTTGTATTTAAAATATAGCTTTGGAACATCAACAAGATATATTTTATCCCTCATATTCTTTTGATTCCTGTGACCATATTTCTGCCTAAACTCATTATAGTTTTGAAGAAAAAATTAAATATTCTCAGTGTCTATATTAAAAACAGCTATAGGATATTCATCACAGTAACAAAGAATGTGTGAACTTATTTATTACTAAAATAAAACCACGATTCTCATAATTTATAACATTTTCCCCTTTTTTTTTCTTGGAGGGTGGAGTTTGCTTGTATTTATCTGCAATTGAATTTTATCTAGTGTTTTATAAAAGAAAGAAGAAAGCCCAGAAATCACATTTAAGCACTCTCTCACATAATCTTCCTCCAAGCAAAATCTGACAGTAGTACCTAATATAATTTCGTATTCTCTATATTGGTAACACAACTGTCTAATAATATTTTTCTTCCACAAAGTTTGGAAACACAGCTTAACAGGGTACTAAAATTTGTAATATCAAAGTCCGATTAGAAGACAGAGTCCAAGACCCAACAGCTGCTTGGATTTCTAGCTACTGCTAACATTGCCAATGCTAAAGGCATATCAGTCTCGTGCTTCTATATCCAATCTCTTTAAATATTTGTCCATAAGATATTATGATGCAAATTAATTGCAAAGTGACAGCTCTAGAAATGTGACATTACTATCAGCTATTCTGTGGAGTTTGCACCATCCACAGAATCACAGAATACGCTAAGCTGAAAGGGATCCACAAGAATCACCAAGTCCAACTCCTGACCAAACACTTCTTGAAGTCTGTCAGGCTGGTGCTGTGACCACTGCCCTGGGGAGCCTGTTCCAGTGCCCAAACACCCTCTAGTGAAACCTTTTTTAAATATCCAACCTAAACCTCTCCTGACTCAGCTTCAGACCATTCCCTCAGGTCCTGTCACTGTCACCACAGAGAAGAGATCAGTGCCTGCCCCTCCTCTTCCCCTCACAAGGAAGCGGCAGACTGCAGTGGGGTCTCCCCTCAGTCTCCTCTCCTCCAGGCTGAACAGAGCAAGTGATATCAGTGTCTGCTTGTATGGCTTCCTCTCCAGACCCTTCACCACCTTCATAGCCCTCCTTTGGACACTCTCTAACAGCTTCCTGTCTTATATTGTGGCACCCAGCACTGTCCCCAGCACTGGAGGTGAGGCTGCCCCAGCTCAGAGCAGAGCAGGACAATCCCCTCCCTTGCCCAGCTGGCCACGCTGTGCCTGATGCCCCCAGGACAGGGTTGGCCCTCCTGGCTGCCAGGGCACTGCTGGCTCATGTCCAACTTGCCATCGACCAGGACCCCCAGGTCCCTTTGTGCAGCACTGCTCTGCAGCATCTCATTCCCCAGCCTGTCCTTACATCCAGGGCTGCTCCATCCCAGGTGCAGAATCCAGCACCTTTTCTTGTCGAATTTCATCTGGTTGGTGACTGCAGAGTGCTCTAATCTGTCAAGGTCTCTCTGCAGGGCCTCCCTGCTCTGTCAACAGCTCCTCCCAGTTTTGCATCATCTGCAAACTTGCTCAGTGTCCCTTCCAGACCTGTGTCCAAGTCATTTATGAAGATGTTGAAGAGCACAGGGTAAAGAATGGAACCCTGTGGAACCCCATTAGTGACAGGTCACCAGTCTGATGCCACCCCACTCATTAAAACCGTTTGTGTCTGACCCATGAGCCAATTCTCACCCACAACATGATGTTTATTCAGCTGAATGCTGGGCATTTTGCCCAGAAGGATCCTGTGACAGCATGGGAAGATTACATCAGCTGGCTTCCCTTGATCAGCTAGGTAGGTTAGCTTGTCATTAAAGGAAATCAGGTTTGACAAGCAGGACTTTCCCCTCATGAAGCCATGCTGGCTGTCACTAATGACTGCATTGTCTTTCAGGTGTTTTTCAATACCTCCCAGAATAATCTCCATAACTTTACCAGGCACTGAAGTCAGACTAGCAGGCCTGTGGTTTCTAGGGTCCTCCTTCTTGCACTTCTTGAAAACTGGGACAACTTTCACCAGCTTCCAGTCAGCTGGGACATCTCCAGTTTCTCTTCAAATAGCAACATGTACACAGAAATGTTTTGGCATTTTGGGCAGGAGAGAGATGACAGTAAAACAGAAGCAAGTTTGGATTTGCTGTGAATACCGTTCTACACAGTTGTAGACCAAGACTACAGAGAAAAAAACAGCTCACACCTGCTGTGGACCTGGTAAAGTCCACTCAACTGATGCGTCTAGAAAACACCAAAAATAAAAAGTGACATTCTCAGTCTTCTCTGGAACTTGCTGCTAAAATCCAAACAAGAAAACATCTATATCTTTTGTTTGACTATCAGCACAGATCATCCCACAGGAGTTCAAAGAGCCAAATCTCTGCAAACCTTCATTAACTGGAGATAAATGACCAGCAAGCTCAACTCATTCTATATTTATAAGAGCTCATAAATGCTCAAGGGCTGATCCCAGTGAACCGAAGTAGGGGTAAGCAATCTGATCATGTTCTCCACTTTACCAATAATGGGTTTCACAAGGCCCAAATTTCTACTCTGTTTCATATGGGTCTCATTATTCCTAGATCATACCATGCTATTTTGTAATTACTAGAAAAACAATACTGAATGTAATTAAGCTCTGACTTGTTTGTGTTGATACCATTTAGTTAAAGGCCAACTGTAATTGCTTCCACTGATAAAAATCAATTCAAAGGCAAATGTATCACACTTGGTTATGACGGTGTTCTGCATCTCTCATTTCTGAGTTTGGCAGTTGAACTCCATGTGCAGTGCAAGAAAGTATGTTTGTTTGACATTTTATAAAACAATAACCTGGGAAAGCTCTCTTTAGGGTATCCATGTGTCAAGCCAAGTATCCTGGACTCTCCAAAACACACAGCACTGCATATTGAACTGCATTAGACACTGGAATAAGAGTTAGCTGAGCCAGGCTCCCTCTTGAACTCATTCTGTACAGTGTAGTGTGACCACAGACAAGTCAAAACAACACCTCTAAGAGGAGCAGATGCCCATATTTTACGTGGAAGAGATATGGAAAAGAAACCAGCCACTGCGATATAGCAAACAGAGAGGACTCAACCTGTCCTGTAGTGCCCTGCCTTTAATATTCTTGATCATACAAAAAACAAAGGAGTCATCTTCAATTAGATCATTATGTAGGTGTTGGCATCTACTGAATGATATATTCAAAGGAAACCTGAGTGTTTTACAGAGTTCAGCAGAGAGTCCTGTGGACCACCTATGGATTGTCTCTGTCATGGAGCAAGACAGAGAATAGTATGGTGCGTTGAGCTTTCAAATAGGGTGTTCTGAAGAATGATATCCCTTAAACTATGAGAATATGAAATGAAACAGTACTACAAAGAACTGGATGACACTACTAAAACCAACTAAAAATAATTTTGTGCTGGGATTAAATTCTGATTCGTGCAGCATGGCAAATAAACTCCCAGCCCTGCATCTCACAGCAGCATAGGGGTGGGACTAGAGAAGAATGTAGTTGTACACAAAAACATATCAAGTGAAAGGGTAAAGAACACCCACTTCAGAGAAATCTGACCTCAAGTTCGCAGTAAAAATTCTTCACAAACATCTGCTTAGTTCCTGTGTGGAAGCAGTCCCATGTGTTCGATACACATTCACAACAGCAGTACAAGAAGTATAAACCTTTGGTGTCTCTTTCCAATAGCTCTGGTCTTCTTCAGAGTTTCTTTGAGTACAGCTCAAGCACAACCTCAGCTGCAACATCAGAGAGCTTTTTCTTGTACTCCTTTAACTTTACAAATGGAAAGTTTCCCAGAAATTCATATGAGCACTAATATAAGATGAAAAATGCTTCAGAAATAGTGTATTTATGCAGACAGAAGGAATGGTTACTGATCATAACCTCTAACTGACTACCACAGCCTCCATGCATAGCCCAGAGATTGTGATCAAAGCAGTCACCAATAGGCACTCAAAAATTCAAGATCAGACTGAGAACAACTCTTCTATACTAACAGTTAATTCCAACATATTTTTCCCCAATATATCTGATTTCCTGAACTGACTACTGGACCCTGGCATAGACAAACTGCGTTGTCTCTCTCATATAATGCTTAACACCAAAGAACCAGATAAAATTACCAACGGAAGCACTTCCACCATGGGACAATCCCTGGAGAATATTAAGATGAATACTCTGGCAAAATGAACATGAACCACAGCACTGCATCAGCCATGTAAAGAGGACAGAGCAAGCAGAGGCAGAGATCATGCTGAAACTGTCTTCTGTCTTTATACAATGTCCTCTTGAGAAACTCATAGCAGCTGTTTGAATCCTCCCTGTGGTTCTGGGTTAACCCAAGACGCAGCATAATGAAAATGCAGACATCAGAAGATGAACACAGTGCCAGATGGTAGGAATGTGCAACAGTAGCAAGAGCTGTGCTCTTTGCATATTATCAGTCTTTAAGCTCCATTTCTAAATTGTCTCCTCCTCTGAAGCAAAGAATTTAGTATCATTTACTAACATATTAATGAGGATAGCATCAAGTCTGTTTGAATAGAAAATGCCTGTTTTCAGTCCAGCCTTCAAAACACACTGATAAACTCAAATAAACATGAAATGAAAAACAACCTCAGCCACTTACTTTTGCTGCTCCTATTTGCTCTTTTCGAAACTTCTCCAGTGGTGCTATTAGCACATCATTAGCATTCTGGATCTGCAAAGTTAAACATAAAAGATATCTTCTTAATACAGAGTATTTGCAGAAAGTGGAGTCACCATAACTCTGCCAATGTCTGAAACATTCTGGTAAGAGCAGAAAGCAATTAATTATGTTTTCTTTACACAAAGCATACAACACACATGTACACTAGTCTACTACAAAACATATTTATGAATAACTAAAGGAATTGTAATGGAAGATGCAGTAACTTTCTCTCTAATATGCAGAAGGTCTTCTGGTACTTAACATCCATTTCTTTTAAGCAAGTTAAAATTAGAATAGAAAACAAAAACTTTCAGGAATATGTTTTGGCAAAACAAAGAAAACAAACGTGGATACTGACAGCACTGACTAAAAAAGTCTGTGTTTATGGAATCTGAAACTTTGACAACTGAATTTCTTCACCTATCCCCTTGGATTATAGACCTATGTACACTGAACAGAAGAGAGTGAGGCAGAAAACTCTAAAAAGATAAGTGGGCACTTAAAAAAATACTCTAGATCGTGTTCCTTCACTTTTCTAGTTTTTAAACTAATTTGAGATGTCCCACAGCTATTTTTATCCCTTTTTATCCTAAACCAGAGTTCTTAATGAAACACAGTTTTCCCCTCATGGCCTCTGTTTATTTAGTGTAAATCCAGTCCTGGGAACTCCTCCCTGAAACCCATTCCCAGCAGCAATCACCCAAAGCAGTCTGTAGTCATTTGGGAATGGAAGCACACATGCAGCAGAATACAAATGGTGGCCAAGCCATCGTGCCAAGGAAAGGTAGCATAATTTCCCTATGTGTCTTTTAGGGACAGGAAGAATAACCAATTAAATTTACTTTGCTGATGAAAATCAGAGAAACTAAAAACTGTCAACATATCAGAAATAAAGTACATTAAAACACACTGCAGTATTATATCATACTGACTACAGGCAAAACTCTGGGTTTTCTGCACAAGTAGCTTTTTTTCTCCTCACCAGTATAGTCTTTACCAATACTCAGCATTTGGGCTTTGGCAGATTTAATGTTCTGGGCAAAGCTAATATGTACCTAAGCCAAATATGATTCTTCTATAACAGTAATTGATAAGTTATATTGTCAGCTGAGCACAAAAACTTCCCAAAATGCTGTAATAAAAACCATCTAGAATAAACCCACTGAAATACAAACACACTTTCTTTCTTCCCAAACCTAACATTACAATTGGAAACACCACAGAATCATCACATCTCTTAGCAAGGCAAAGTTTTAGGAGAAGCTGAGACTCTTATTGACACCCTTATGAAGTCCAAAGAGAGCAATGGCAATGCTCAGTGATATCATGATCAAAATGTACTACATTTAAAAACAAAAATCAGGCACAGAGGATGAGGAGGAATGTTTTCATTGCATTCAAGGTCCTCTGTAAGTTCCACTGGACCAGACTACATCCATTACTCCAAGTGGATGCTTCCCAGTAATAGCTGTCATCCAGCAACCTAACTGGGACTCAACACCTTTTACGAGGTAAAGTGCATGCACTTAGCAAAAGCTAATTTCAATCCCAAGGATCACTAAAGCAGACTAACAGCAATGAAAAACTTAAACGACTTGCCCACTACCAAACAAAATTGCAGTGTACATGCCTGGAAGCAGCAGCTGGAAGTTCTGATAGCTTACAGAGCATGTATGTGGCTTTCAGCAACACACAAAGAAATCACAAATGATTGCTGGAGTCACTGGTATGGAAATGTGGATGCAGTTGTTTTTTTTTCCCCATATCCCAACGTAAGTTTTTCTCTGCCCTTCAGATTCATTGCTAAATATGTCACAGTTAAATTAAGGAAGACATATGTATATTAATAGGTAGTTACCTCTGATACCAGCAATCACTACTAGTCCAGTTGCCAGTCAAACTAACCCCATGTGGAGCCGATTGGCTCCTCCCTTGACTCAATGCTACCGTGGTCATGCAGCCTCCAGGCCACACCAGGAGATCTCACTGCATATATTGTTCTCTTGGCAGTGTTAAAGGGACTGAAACACAACTCCTGCCCATCTCACTCAAAGCTGCTGCAAAGCAAATGAAGCATCTTGGAAAAAGAATGTCCTGCTTCAAACACCGTGGAAGAACATAAACATAGGAAGCACATGGAACTGAGAGGATTCATCAGAGAAGTAAGTGGCTCTGCTGGGCTGAAGCACAATGTTATTACTCCCACAGTTATACATGAAGTGCGAATGGACAGCAGGCTTTGCCAGGCTTTTATCTAGATGGGGTCTGTGCCTCTGAATAGATCTCCTAAGCCACATCAACAGAATACACTGCAAGCTCACCCCTGGGCTCAGAGGCTCTACTGGCAAGAGCCCTGTTGTGAAAATTCATCTCTCAGAAAAATTAGGAGCTAGGAAAGAAATAGGCTTTGGTTTTGAGGAGGGAGAATGTAGCAGCAAAGGACCCAAGAAAATGCCAGGAGATGCATATCAACAGCCACTATTACAAAATACAGAATGCTCCACTGTGTAAAGACTTCCATCAGTTTTCCCCAGGTTGTGCCTAGCTTTCAGAAAGTGAAAATTATGGAGAAAGAAGAAATTTTGCCTTACATATTCACTTTTAAATTTCCTTTCTTTGTCAATTATTATCACTGCAACTACCTTACAGTTTCCTTCTTAAGGGTTATAAATCAGCATACAGCTCCCCCCTCCAACACACACACACACTCTTCTGTGTCCTGTGAAAGTAGCAGTCCAACACTCCCACAAACATTTCTATGGAAATCTGATTGCTTTAGATAACCTGAAATTTTCACTGTGTGGTCCTAACAGGGTAACTTTTTTTCCTGCCAAGATGATAATCACTCTCCTACTCAGTTATGGTGCTAGGTTGAAATCAGGGACACTGGGAACAGGCAAACAATGTCAAAAAGGCTAACAGTTTTTGTAAACAGCAACTTCAGAAATCCATGTTGCGTTTAAAATATGGATCTAAACCCTTCCAAACTTATTCAGATTAGTCACACCTTTAGAGAAGTTACATTTTCTTGATCTAATGGTTATTGAATGTTACACAGTTTCAGTGCTCAACATGGTTAATATGTGGCAGTCAATCAAATTATGTGCTTGTTTCTTCTTTGGCAAAAGCAATTGTCTTTCTCCAGAAAAAGAAAAGAAAAGCACAATTTTAATTTACTGACAGTTCATCAGTCTTTTTTTAATTAAGACGCTAGACAAGTACTAGCAAGCATAATACAAGAATATTACTTTGATATTTGAGAGAGCTATATTAGATACAGTAGTAAAGAAAACAGATTTTTCTAAACTAAAAAACTTTTTCAGATTTTTATCATTGGTATATATAATTCCACTGAGTTATAGGTTACTTGTTCATAAAAGCACCATCGAAATAAGTACCACCAAAACCACCCAGAAGTTGTACAATTTATTAAAAAAAGAAACATTTAAAAATTCAAAATACTTCTTCTAAGGCAGTTTGGACAACTTATGAGGTAACTGTTTGCATAACTGCAATATTTCAGTACACTCTGACAGCCTTTGAGACAATGTGGTGAAGCCACTTAAGTTGTCTTTTCTGACTCATGATCATCTACTTTTCCAACCTACCCTCTTTCCCTCCAGAAGTTAGCTGTGAAATTGAATTTATGCACCAACGCTGAGATTAAACTGTGGTTTTCGCACATCACAGAGAAACTCCACATCTATACTCGAAGACATTGTGGGCTAGCAATTCTTTAAACTTTTCTTTTTTTACTAAAACTTCTGATCATTAGAATGACAAACATTAAGAGAATCATAAATATTATATAATGTTAGAAAAGGAAGAATAAATTTTTTGCAAACATATCTGAACGTTTCCATTTCTAGATTTTCTTAAATTCAAGTTGACATTATTTTTTGAATGAGTTTTCTAATTAGTTTTCTGATTTTTCTCAATTTGTGAGAGTGAATGATATACAGCCTGTACATGCAGCATTCTCTTACTTAAAGAGGGTAGATGAAGATTAACATGGAAAGAGGGTAGGTTTAGATTAGATAATAGAATGAAATCCTTTACTGTGAGGGTGTTGAGACAGTGCCATAGGTTGCCCAGAGAAGCTGTGGATGCCCCATCCCTGGAAGTGTGCAAGGCCAGGTTGGATGGAGCTCTGAGCAAGCTGGTCTAGTGGAAGATGTCCCTGCTCATGGTAGAGAGCTGGAGTTGGATGATCTTTAAGGTCCTTTCCAACCCGAGGCAATCTATAGTTCTACTTTGGTAGAACCAGTGGATAGAAACCAAAATTTACCTAAAAACATTGATGCAGCTGCTAATTAATTTTTAAATACTAATAATACAGACAGAAATTTTAAGGCCTGAATTGTTTTATAGGCTTTTATCTTCACCGTAGTGTGAAGTAACAAGAACTGACAATACCTTTTGAGCTTTGTACTTCCATTTGTAGGGATAAGGACTAGGTAGGTCACAGAAAGAACTGAGTTAACAGATTTACCAATTCAGAAGAAAACAGCAACAACTTAAGTGAGGCATATTTACAGTAACAGAATTAGGAATTATCTTAAACTTATCTGAATGATAGCAAAACACTTAAAACTGTGAAAAACTTTTGGGTTTATATAATGTATCTTGGAAAAACATTTTTTTGTTCCAGAATCTGCTATGACTACTTTTCATGGCAACACAGAATGACCACACTAGCACATGGTAAATAGAACTCATTTCCCTGAAATACTGAATGACTCACAAATTCTGAATGCTGACAAATACTAACTTTTTTCATGTCAGTATAAGACTTCCAGAAAACACAAATCAAATTCATTCAAAGGGGTCAACAAATCTCATAGCTAACATATGCACAGTAATGCATTTCTAATTTAGAAAAATATTTCTCTTCAGGACAAAAAGACATAATTTAATTTTAAATCTTAAGTTCCTAACAATTCCTAACATAGGATCAAAATATCTTTTCTTTCAGTCTGAGGCCTGTGTCAACAGCTCCTAATCAATAC